ACTCGAGTTGAGGGGCCCACCTTGGCCCCAACAGACTCACCACTCGTGCCGAAGAGACTATCGGTGCTAACACTAGACATCTCGGGATAAAAATGAATGAAAAAGGCAAGCATGAGACGAAGACCAGACAACTTACCTAAGACTGAAGAAGGAACAAAGCGACCTCGAGAACAAGGGCAGGTGGCACCGACTTGGAGATAGATGCGCGACCTCAGGGATTCGAGCACGCGATGTGTGGCGAAGAAAATGGGCCCCAAGGCTCCTATTTATAGCCATGATGACCAGACTTCGACGGTCCAGATCTATGCGATCCAATGGCTCTTGTGGAAACTGGCTACATGCCTCCTGAGGTCAAAATCGGTTAAGTGCACATTTTGACGTCCGCGGAATTTATAACCCGCGTGACGTCTGCGCGTCCCTGACACGCGACCTAGTTTTCCTAATCGAGCCGCATGAGTCATCGTGATCCGACCGTTGAACTAGGCTCCGAATCGAAGGGAACTTGGATCAAATCCACTTGGACTTACCATGAACTCCCCGCATTGGGTCGAGATCCCTGGCACGGGGAGTAGGGGCAATTGATGAGGGGTGATTTGGCTCGACCTGATAAACAAAGGACACATGGACATGACTTGCCAACCAGATGATGACTCAACAGTTCTGACCACCTCGACAGATTGGTCACCTTGGATTGCCCCGAGGACAGGGTACCTCGGATGCCCATATTTGTTGAGGTGATACATAGCAGATTCTAGAAGTTTGCCAACTGTCCCCGAGCCTTCTGAGGTCATGCCACGCAACCGTAGGTATTATCCTCATCCCACCCGATTCGGGTGGATGCGATAGGGCTTATCGGCCAGCACGTTATCCACCTTCTTCAGCGGAACAAACTCCTACTGCTTGGTCTGAGGATCTCGGAGAGGCTTTGTGAGGCTCATGACGGCCCAGCTATATAAGGGCATTAACCCCTTTGACCAAGGTACGCGCGATAACTTGCTCACTAGCTCTCATATGCTCAAGCTTTCAGCCCGCAACCAAGACTACAATATAACTTAAGCATCAGAGCGACCTCGCCGGGTTAGCCACCCTGGGTTCTCTAATATGTTTTCTTGCAATTCGAACCAGCTCGTTACGTAACCAGTCTCCAGATAACCTTCCAGCTAGGTGCTTCCAGATTGTGCACCATCAAAACCCTAAATGAAACAAAAAAGTAAAAGGAAAGAGGGGTCGGGCTTAAGCAAGGAGTGGGGACAAAATTGCCTTTTTAAAAATTTTAAACCTATAACTTGAAATGCAAAAAAAATCATTCGAAATCCAAACCGAGTCATTTGGTTCGACAATTCAATTGTGTGATGGCTTGAACGGTTTGACCGTTCGGATCAACGGCATTTTGAAAACATTGCTTACACTAGTAGGTGTTTGGAAGCTTGCCGTTTTCTTGAAAAATGGTGCCACATCAGTGTGACATCTGGAATCTATTTTTCTGACCACCCTGATGTTTGGTTATGTATGTATTTTTTCGAAAAGCATTTTCTTAGGGTGTGGTATGAGAAAATGCCATTTTTGGTGGTTTTTTTGTCTTTTTAGTTTTGCTAGCAATAGTATGTCGACATGGAAATGAAAAATGACTATGTGACAACAACAATGATCCCAAATAAATAAATAAATAAATAAACGTTTTCTAAGAAAGAAAACAACATGCTAATGCGGCACAGTTTTCTCAAAAAGCACCCCTTAGGAAATGGCATTGGTTCCAAATATGGCCCTGATTATCCAAATGCCCAATACACTTATTGTACGTTGTAAAAATACAAACGCACTTTATTGAAATTAATCTAAGAGCATCAAAGATTCACATACATGTATTTGAATATAAGGAGTCATTATAGTGTTCTCCTTGAATGGATTCGTATAGAGGAAGTTAGTTGAAGACACCATATTATTCCCATGCATTTAATAAAATTTTGACCATCTGGTCCCCCGTGTACCGTGAAGATCCTAGATATTTGGGGTCTTGGAAGGGGTAGACAAGATATGATTATAACCCGTATTCTCACACTTGCTAACCCGAGATTTTACCAATACACCAAGTAATGGCCTTTTCTCTCCTACTAGTTTCTTTGTTAAACAAGCATCAAACACGTGTGATCCACAAAATAAGATAAAGTAAAAGTAATAATAAAAGCAAAGATATTATTTATTAAACAATAGTAACAAAGTACAAACAAAATAATAGTATAATAAAACTAAAATACTAACATATTAATTATTATTAATAAATTAATTTTAAACTAATAAATAAAAATAATAATATTAATAAAATATTCAAAATTTTAAGATAAATAATAAAATATTAATTATTAAATACTAGTAAGATAATAATAACAAAATACTAAAAAATAATAATTATATATTCATAAAATAATAAATAGATTAATACAAAATATAAAATTTTCATTTCATTCTGAATCCAACTCCAAGTGAAGTAAACCAAACATACATCAGGAATAAGTGATTCTGATTTCAGTTCTTTGGGATTTTGATTCTGATCCTATCCACAAACCAAATGGACTCTTAGAGGTAAAAATTGAGTGCACATATATAAATGCTAAAGGTTGATTGAAAAAGAAAACTTATATTGTCATTGTATGTGCATGTTTGTAACCATTTAGTATAATAATTGAATGTATTAAACATCGGAAGCCAAAAAGATGCGCTGGCGGTGCCCGCTTCTTTATTTATAATAGAGAAATAGAATAAAATGATTAAATTATATCTATACCCATGTCTGACATTCTAATGAGAAATAACATAAAATTAACATGGGGGTATGGGACAACTTTCTAACAGCTCACTATGGCAACACTTTCCCTTCAAAAGTACCTTAATTATTAGTGAATATTATATTTGCAATTTTCTTCTCAATTCCACTAAAACTATGGATCATGTCAGTTCATGACATAACATTCTAACTTAGGAGAAAGGCCTTTCATAGTTAAAAGAGAGATTTGGGAAGAAGCCCAAATCTGCCCTATTATTGAAGGAGGTAGGAAATTCATAGAAAGAGCTAAACTAATTTTGATTGTTGCTCTATAGGAAATCTTTAACACCATCGTGAACACAAGCAATGTTTAGATAACCAAATGAGAAAACATTGTTGATCTATTCAGTCTCAGGCCTAACATACGAGGGGGAGGGGGATTCCTTGGTTTAGAATGTCTTTTTGGTGGAGGGTGGCTCATAAGTGGTACTAAGCTGGACTCTAAAATGGGTCGTGCTCTTGTGTAAAGTGCGGGCTGGGCCGTGCTTCTTTCTCTTGGGATATTTTGGGGGGTCGGCCCGCAATCTATCTTGGATCTGTGTCGTGTCACAGGCCGGACTGGTTCGTGGGCTGAGCTTTAGGCCCGATCGGGCTGTGAACCGGGCTAAAGCTATTTATTCAAAAAACTTGAAAAAAAATAAAATTTTTATTTTATATGTGTTAAAATACAACTTTATTCTTGTGTTATTTTAGTCTTTCCTCTTCTTTAAGTTAGTGTTTTTTGTCTCTATTCTCAAGTCTCTATATACAGGGGTAGTATTGTAATTTTACTTTTCATTATGAATTAAACATACAGGGTAGCAATTCTCTCTCTTGATAGAGACTGTGAAGCCCTATTCTGTTCGACTTCTTTTTCTCCTCTTCTTCTTCTCCATCTCTTCCCCTTCTAGGCTCACATAAGAAGTTTCTCTTTATTTATATAATTAAATACAGGCCTGATAACATGGTATCAGAGCCAGGTTGATTGGTTTTCTCAACTGCATCAGTAAATGACGCCTAGAACTGGTTCAGCTGAAGTTTTCTACTAATACGAGAAGAAAGGAAAGGGAAGAACTCAAAAGGAATGATCGCCCAAAAGGTTAGGAGGCTTATATGCCTCAAGTTGCTTTGTTGGTTGATTGTTTGATGGTGTTTTAGATCCCCTCTACTCGGCAGTTCGAAGAGGGACTATGAATGTGAAGTTTGGCTGATTGATGTATGTGGGTGATGTGTTTGGTGGGTAGTTCTTTGTGAACTGTGAAGTTAGTTGACTTGTAGAAGGAGTTCCTTTGTTGATGTTCCAGGTTTAGGAGTTACGACTATGCTGCTGAAGTTTCGAAACCATTAGATAAGTCAGTTGAGTGTTGTTCTTGAGTCGAGAAGGTCTTCGTCTTGGGAGAGTGGTGCAAAAATAACTGATGGCAGTTCTAGCAGTGAATACAAAAAAAGTGTGATGGTACAACCTGATTTCATGGTTGTACAAATGACGTCAGTTAAACTTAATGGTACCAACAATGTACCATGGGTGAAGTCGGTGGAGGTAAATTTGACGGCAAGAGGAAAGTTAAGATATATTAAAGAAAACAAACTAGACCAGGAGTTGCAGGGTATAATGATTGGATCCTGAAAAATGCACAGATCATGATATGTCTTTGGAATAGTATGGAACCTCATATCAATGTGAACTTGATGTTCTTTGATACTGCGAAAAAATTTGGGAATATGCTAAGCATTTGTATTCTGGACAAGACAATGTAACTAGAATCTATCAATTGTATCAGGAGTATTTTCAACTATAGCAAGGTGATAGGAGTGTGGAAGAGTACTATGCTTGCTTGAAGAGTTTACGGAATGAGTTGGATTCATATCAGCCACTTTCGATTGATCTCAAAGTGCAAAAACAATAGAGAGATCAGTTGGATGTGGCATGTTTTCTTTCCGGATTGATGTCTATATTTGAACCAATGCGTGCCTAGATTTTAGGCAGTAGTAACATACCTTCACTATCAGAAGCTTTCTCTAGAATTAAGAAGGGATACAAGTCCACATACAGATCCTAGCCGCAACCAGAGGTGGTAGAGGTGGCTCACGTGGTAGAAGTAGCTATCCCTTATGGAGTAACTGTGGTGTGAGAGGAGGTCACATGGGTGGTAGAGATGGAAATTTTAGAGGTCGTGGTGTCAATGTTGTTAGTTGAGGAATGATCAACGAATGTAGCTATTGTGGACGGGAAAGACATGCTGTGAACTACTGTTATGATCTACATGGCCCACCATCTACTTGGGCCAATCATGCTACTGTAGAAGGAGATAGTGGTACTATAGGAGATGACTCCACTGCTTTAGGCACTAGAAAGGAGAAGGAAATGGTTTCCATCACCCAAGAAGAGTATGAAAAACTTCGTCTGTCTTCTTCCGGTAATACTACAACTCTTGCAAAATCAGGTACAACATGTCTTGATTCTTCTTTTAAACCATGGATTATTGATTCTAGGGCCTCAGATCACATGATTGGGTCCTCAGACCTATTTGCATCTTTCTCCCCTCCCTCTACTACCCAATCGGTTACTCTGGCTGATGGTACTACCTCCCATGTTTCTGGTATCGGTGATATTTCTTTACATTCTAATTTCACTTTACTGGTACCTGTGATGTTTTTTTGAATCTCAAGGCATAATACATCAATCATCATTCTCCACTACTCCACAACAAAATGGAGTAGCTGAGCGGAAGAACAAACATTTACTTGACACTACTCAGGCATTTTTGATTCAAATGTCAGTTCCAAAAAAATATTAGAGTGATGTTGTTCTTCTTGCTTTTTCATTAACCATATGCCATATTCCGTGTTAAGTGGCTCCTCTCCTTTTTTTATTGTTTTTCCTTTTCAATCTCCATTACCTTTGCCTCTGCGTGTCTTTGGTTGTGTTTGTTTTGTTCATTACCTAGGGTTGGCGTTGGATAAGTTGGACGCTCATGTTCTTAAATGTGTCATTTTAGGGTACTCTCGGACCCAGAAAGGATATAAGTGTTATAATCCTTCCCTTTGGTGATCCTTTGTTATTTCTGATGTGACCTTCTTTTAAAATGTTCATTTTTTTCCTTAACTGAGCCTACTTCTCTTGATACTCTATCCCCACCTCCTCTTCCCTTACCAATGGAGGAGTTGTCTGTGCCTGCTCTTGTTGTTCAAGAGTCAATGTGACCATCAATCCATTGAGTATATGCTTACCGCCCTTGTGGTATTGTGTTTCAGCCTTATCCAGCTCTATCTCAACCATCAGCAGCTCCTTCGTCGACGGATCCATCTCATTTTGATATTCCCATTGCGTTTTTCAAAGGTAAGCATGCTTGTACTGAACATCCTATATCTTGTTATGTTTCATTTTCCCATTTATCTCCATCCTATTGAAAATTTGTATCCCTTCTATCGTCTATGTTTCTTCCTAGATCTCTTCAAGATGCTCTTCTCTCTCTGAAATGGAAAAGGGCAATGGATGAGTAATTTCATGCTCTTCAATCTAATCATACTTGGGACCTCACTTCTCTGCCTCTAGGGAAGAAAACAATTGGTTGTTGGTGGGTTTACACTGTTAAGCATCTTGTCGATGGTAATGTGGAGAGATATAAAGCACACTTAGTAGCTAAAGGGTATACACAGACCTATGGTGCTGATTATATTGATACCTTTTCACCTATAGTTAAAATGGGTTCGGTCCAGGTGCTTATTTCCCGAGATGCACACTTTGATTGGTCATTGTTCCAGTTGGATATTAAAAATGCATTTTTTCACAATGACCTAGAGGAGGAGGTGTATATGGAGCAACCTCTAGGGTACATTGCTCATGGGGAGGAAGGTAAGGTGTGTCGGTTAAAGAAAGCAATTTATGGGTTGAAGCAATCTCCAAGGGCCTAATTTGGGAGATTCAGTAGTGTAGTACAACGGTTTAGGTTGACGCAATGTAGGGTTGATCATTCAGTGTTCAGTAGAACTATTACCTCTAGGAAGATTGTGTTGGCAGTTTATGTTGATGACACTATTATCATAGGAAGTGACGAGCATGGCATTGAAAAGCTCAAACAGTTCTTATAAAGCCAGTTCCAGACTAAGGACTTGGGGCACTTGAAATATGTTTTGGGCATAGAAGTAGCAAAGTCAAAGTGGGGAATCTCTCTCTCACAAAGAAAGTATGTGCTTGACTTGTTGGAAGAAACTGGTCTTTTAGGGGCAAAGCGAGTGGATACCCCTATAGATCCAAATGTAAAGATGTTTGATAGTGAGGGGGAGCCCCTAGCTGATCCTAGACGGTATAGGAGAGTAGTTGGAAAACTGATTTATTTAACCATTACAAGACCAAACATTTCCTTCAATGTTGGATTATTGAGCCAATTCATGCAAAACCCAAGGACAATCCATTAGGAAGATATTGTTAGAGTTCTAAGCCATTTGAAGAGTGCTCCAGGTAAAGGGTTGTTGTATAAGAAAGGGAGAGAACTTTCGTTGGAAGGATAAACAAATGTTGGTTGGGCAGGGTCAGTTACTGATAGGAAATCAGCAACTGCTTACTACACATTTTTGGCAGGAAATTTGATTATTTGGAAAAGCAAGAAACTGAATGTGGTGGCTAGGAGTAATGCTGAGGCCGAGTACATAGCCATGGCTCACACTACAGGTGAGTTGGTGTGGTTGAGACAATTGTTGCAAGAGATGGGAATATCGGTCACTAACCCCATGTAGCTATTTTGTGACAACTAGGTAGCCATCCATATCTCTTCCAATCCAGTGTATCATGAGAGGACCAAACACATAGAGGTGGATTGTAACTTTGTTAGAGAAAAGGTGGTCAGTGGAGAAATCATTACCCCATATGTTAAGTTTGAAGATCAACTAGTTGATTTGTTTACCAAAGGCTTGTGGTGTGCTCGAATGAAATACATTTGTAACAAGTTGGAGTTGTATGATATATATGCTCCAACTTGAGGGGGAGTGTTAAAATACAACTTTGTTCTAGGGTTATTTTAGTCTTTTCTCTTCTTTAAATCAGTGTTTTTGTCTCTATTCTCAAGTCTCCATATATGGGGGTAGTATTGTAATTTTACTTTTCATTATGAATTAAACATATAGGGCGGCAACTCTCTCTCTCTTTGTAGAGACTATGAAGCCCTATTCTATTCGATTTCTCCATCTCTTCCCCTTCTAGGCTCATATCAGAAGTTTCTTTTTATTTATTTAATTAAATACATGCCTATTAACAATACGAATTTTGATGTATACAATTGTTTATATATACAATAGTTAAATAAAATAGTATAATAAAATAAAAAACAATTGTTTATTTTATTAGTATATCATATACTATATATAATTATAATTTATATAATATTATATATATAAATATATATTATGTATAATATATAAATATATAATATATATGGATCGTGCTAGGTTGTGTTGCATGCTGAGTCGTGCTAGCCCGTGGGCCACGAGCAGTACAAACCACACTGTCAGGCCATGCCGGATTGGCCCATGAACCTAAAACCCCAAGCCTAGCACGGCCCATACAATCATGTCGAATTGCGGCATGGCCCAATTTACACCTCTACACTCAAATGGCCCTTAGACACTAAAAAACATATCAAAGAACAGAGGTCCTTCTTATCTACTTTACAATTTACATAGCTTGTTCAGATGGAATCTATATGTACAATCTATATAACAAAATTGAAGATTGATGGCATCTAACTTGTAACAAAAGGATTAACCATCCCTGCAAAATAATGAAAGAAAAGGTATGTACTATGAAACATCATATATACACTAAAAGCAAAATGGGTAAGGATAGTGCCCATTTTCCTTGAAATGGAATCCTAACCTGTAAAGGTTATATTGGCTTATGTGAAATATTTTTCTATTTTGGCACAAATGGTTCGTGTGATGTTCATGAGCATTTCTAATTACAAGATTGTCATTATGTGTATCATTGAATTTACAAGAATGCCATTATTTGTAACCATGAGTTTTTTTTACTAATTACAAATGAATTCGGCTTGATTACCACTTTTGTAATACGAGTTGATTGGTTATTAGTTTCTAAGTATCATGTGTCATTGTCTCTTTTTAGTTGTACATATGATATTGAATTTTCATATAATTACAAGAATGTCATTATTTGTCACCTGAATTTTTTTATTAATTACAAGAGTGCCATTAAAAGCAATTATTGCCTCTTTTATAGTTGTGCATGTGACATTGAATTTTCATGTAATTACAAGAGTGCCATCAACATGTAATTACTATATGAATCCGAATCAATTGGGTCAATTCTTGGTATATTGTCCCGATTCTTATCAGGTCGAAGCCGGTTCCACCCAGTCACGAACTGATTAACTACAAACTATATCGGGTCCGATTCGGCTCCAAGTCCTTGTAATTCTTGTTGGGTCAATTCCGGTTCTACCTAAACCTAACCCGTTGACAACCCTATCTCTCTCTCCACTCCCACTATAATACTATTTTTTTATTTTTCATTTATCTTCAACAACTCTTTCCTTGAACTTTTACAAGATAATAAATGTTTTAATATATTTTTTCAATTAATTAATTAAATCGTCTAATTATGTTTCATCTAGGCAAGCCCTGAGTTGGGATTAAAGCATTGGATGGACTTTTAATATTATTTACAATATAATTAATTAATTAATTAATTAATTAAGCCTTCTAATTATGTCTCATCTAGGCAAGCCCCAAGTTGGAATTGAAGTACTGGAAACAAGCCCAAATTGGAAATTTGTGGGTTTAATGCAAACTCAAGCCCGAGGCCAGGCTTAAAAAAACACCTAGGCCCAAAGCTTAAATTTTGAGTTAGGTGGGCTTAGGTTGGTTGGGCCCAAGCTTGACTTGGAAATTTGCAAGCCTAATGTGAGCTCGGGCCGGGCTGAAGTATTGGGCCAAAACTTGGGCTAAAAATTTGTAAGGCCAGGCCCAGACCAAGTCAAAACACAAAACTTAGGACCAAGCCTAGAAATTTTGGGCCAAGCCAAGCCTTTTCATCTATGTCTCTTTAACGTCTCAATCAAATTCCATGGATCAAAAGCA